AGACAGACACCAAACAGAGGCTACCACCACGGCAAATCAAGAGTACCCCTCCCTCATTTAAAGGCTGTTCATCCGCCACCTCAAGGAAAAAGGCAATAAAACCCCACCACGGTCCGTTCGATTTTTCCTTTTTTAAAGAAAAATGAGGGTGCATGCCTTAATCCTATTAATTTATTTATATTCTTCGGTGTATTAATTATCAGTCCAAGGCCGATTTCAAATTATTGCAATCCCAGCTCCATTGTTCGCTCCAATTGGAGGCCCCGCCCCCTCTTTTGTCTGGCGGCGCGGTGATTGGTCGACGGCGGGCGGGGGCTGCCGTCAGCGCTCGGGAAGCCCATTCATCTGTGCACTTGGGCGTTGGACTCCGCATCTTATTAGCGACCAGGGAGATTTCTCCATTTTCCCCTTGTCTACAGTACGGCTACAAATCTGGGATTTTTTATTACTTCTTTTTTTGTACTAAACTTGGGCTTCTAATATTTTTGCTCGACTTTTCCCCCCTTCTTTTCCCCCCCTTTCTTCCTATGCTGCTGCTTTTTTGATCTCTCCAGCTTTATTTAGAAAACAAAGCGAATCAAAGAAAAAAACAGGCGTGCATATATTTAAAAATAATCGGTTCTCTTCTCTTTTTTTCCCGTCCTCCCCCTCTGGTGTGTGCGTTGCTGTTCTTCAAGCTGCTGATCTCCCAGCATTTACACGAACCCACTGCTCTTTGTTTCCTTTTCTTTTGGATCTGTTGAGTTTCTTTGTTGTATAAAGCCAGCATGGGTGCCCAATTCTCCAAGAACGCTGCAAAAGGCGACTCTGCTGCCGAAAAGCCCGGGGAAGCAGTCGCCGCATCGCCTTCGAAAGCGAATGGACAGGTAAGAGAGGCGAATAATGGGTTTCTGGTTTATACAGCTATGCTTCTAAATCGAGAGCCCTGTTGAATTCCGTTTCTGCTTTTTCTCTTGGTAGAGAGACGGCTTTGGAAAATCGATCTTAATCCACTTTGTAAACAAATTGTGTCGTCGTTCCCCCCCTTCACACTAATGTGTTATCTTGTGTTTGTACTTGAGGAGTCCCCCTCTTTTGGACGTAATGTTTGGGCGTAGTACAGTGTAAAGGGAAAAAAGATGCAGGATGCTTGTCTACTATAGGTGCCCTCCTGGTTAGCTGATGTTCCGCCAACAAGTAGTGTGTTGGTTAAATTTACGGTTATCTTTGGAGATTTTTTCGCCATATGTATGCTCTGATGAGGACGGTTGCGTCGAGTATATGCTCTTCTATGGCTTCCAGTACTAACAGTCCCTTCTCTCTCTCTTCCCCCCCCCCACCTTCTCTTCTTCAGCGCGGGGGTGGGGGGATAGTGGAGCTCGGTGGCGATAAGGCGACAGCAAGAGAAATCGGCGAGCGGTACTGAGTTGGGGGGCGCTGGAGAGTTGTTGGCGTATTGAGGAAGGGGCCGGAGAAACGGTCTTCTCCATCTTGTTTGTTGCGTTCCTCGCCTGGCTCCGATAGCCCAAGCTTGTCTTGCAATAAACTGGGACCTTGGGAGGTGTTGCGAGCCGACTCGGGTGAAATTCGTGGCGCTGCAACAACGTAGCGCGGCTGCTCTGGTGGAATTTGTTGCGCTGAAGTGTGAGAGATACCTTGTGTATGTGTGTACGTGCTTGTGCGAATTACTGCAGTTGCCGTGGGGTACACGAACGTGTCAACAGCGTCGGGGTGAATGGGGGCCAGATGGAGGTGTTCAAGGCTTAAGCCCGCGTCCATGTGGGACCGTTTTCGTCCTGGTGGTTTCCCATGCATTCGAGCGGCCCGCTCCTATACTCGGCCAGCCCGGGGTTGGCGGTCGTAGCAACTAAGCCTCTCGCCGGCAGCCGCTCTTGTTGTTGCTTTCGCCTGCCTGTCTCTTCTGAGGCGCCTGAGGCGGGCTTTAAAACACATGATAAAATGCGCGCAACACACACACACACACACACACACACACGGAGTGCCCGCGCCTCTCCCTCCCTAAACAATGGCGGGAAGATGGTGGGCTCCCTTGGTGTTGTTAACCTCTTTTTCTGTGCTGAAGCCGAGCGAGTTGAGGAAGAAAGGGCCGGTGGAGGGAAGCGAAACGGAGCATTGTTCGCTCCGCAGAGCCGCTCCTGGCCGAGGCGCGAGCAAAGCTTCCTCTCTCTTGCCCCTTCCAGCTCTTCTCTTCCAGTCTCCTCCTCCCTCGCCGTAGTCCCTAGCGCCGCCTGTCTCTCGTCCCCGCGGTGCGCTTGGTTATCTTTTTCCTCCTCTTTTTTTTTTAAAAGATACTTAATGTTTCCAAGACGGAGCCACAGTGCCCTCCTCAGGCGGAGCTCCGCTGCTACAGCAGCCTTCCTTTCTCCTGGGAGCTCCCCGGGCTTCGAGGTTTAAATACATCGCTGAAGGGAGGAAATGTGGCCGGCTGCCATGAGTAGTAGTGTCTCCAGACGACGCTGATTTCCCGCCGTGCCCCAATAAAAAGAGGCGAGGGCCGCCTTTGGAGTGACTAGCCGGCGTGAGGGCGCGTGGGGTGGGGCTTAGGGGCGGGCTTGTGCGATACCTTCCCGTCGCCAGAGGCTTGGCGGTGTGCCTCTTGTTTTGCTCGAGGGGGGGGCAGCGGGAAAGTCTGTGACAACGTGCTGGCATGGAGGGTTGGTGAGCTTTTAATGAATTTCATGGCTGCATTCGTGCCCTCCTCATAGTCATAAATCCTTGGCCATGGCAACATAGACACTGCTGGTCATGGAGTGCCCTGAGGTTTTCCATAGGTTTGCTGTGTTTCTGTCATTAAAGAAAGCCCAGCAAACGGCCTTTTGATTGACTTAGGTTTGACAACCAGATGTCTTCTATCCAATAATGGCATGCTGAATTTTCTTGCAGGAGAATGGCCATGTGAAGGTGAATGGCGATGCCTCGCCAGCCGCTGCCGAGGCGGGCAAGGAGGAGGTCCAGGCGAACGGCAGTGCACCTGCTGAAGAGTCGGTGAAAGAGGAGCAGACCCCTTCTGAGCCTGCCTCTGAAAAGGAGGCGGCAGAAGCGGAGAGTACAGAGCCGGCCTCTCCGGCCGAAGGGGAGTCCTCCTCTAAGACGGAGGAAGGAGCGACCCCTTCCTCCAGCAACGAGACCCCGAAAAAAAAAAAGAAGCGCTTTTCTTTCAAAAAGTCCTTTAAGCTCAGTGGCTTCTCCTTTAAAAAGAACAAAAAGGAGTCTGGGGAAGGAGCTGAAAATGAAGGTGCGAGTGCTTCGGGAGAAGGGGGGAAAGATGATGCAGCCACTGCCCCAGAGCAGCCAGTGAGCAACGAAGAGAGCAAAGTGGCTCAGGAGGCATCTCCTGCTGCCGCTAGCAGCACAGAGGAAGCCAAGGAGGAGCCCGGCGGCTCCCAGGAGGCCAAATCGGAAGAGACTGCGCCAGAGAAGCCAGCAGGAGAGGAGGCCAAGCCTGCTGAAGACCAGAAGGCCGAGGATAAACAGGAGGAGGTGCCCGCGGCCAGCCCTGCCCCATGCGCTACCACTGAAGCCACCTCAACTGAACAAGAGGCACCCAAAGCAGAGGAGCCAGCAGCAGCGGCAGCAGCTCCAACACAGGAAGCTCCATCCGAGTCTAGTCCAGAAGCTCCACCAGCTGAATCAGCAGAGTAAAAAAAAAAAAGGAAGAAGAAGAAAAGAAATGATGGCAATTTTGAGATGATGATTGAACTTTTCTTCCCCCCTGTTTGTTTGTTTGGAGTGGTGCCAGGTACTGGTTTTGGAGAACTTGTCTACAACCAGGGATTGATTTAAAAGATGTCTCTCTTTTTTTGTCTCTACCCACAGATCCCATCTCAGATCATTCTGTTACCACCATTCCAACTGGTAGAAGAGAGACTACATGCCTCCCTCTGCCTTGTTCCTCTTTTTTTTTTTTTTGCATCAGTATTAATGTTTTTTGCATACTTTGCATCTTTATTCAAAATGTAAACTTTTTTTCCTATCTGTCAATCTATGGACATGCCCATATATGAAGGAGATGGATGGGTCAATAAAGGGATAGCAAATGAAGTGATAAGGGGTCACAATGGGGAATTAGTGGTGCAGATAATTTGCCAAGAAAATGTGCCACAAGAAATAAGGGGTTAGTCTTTTTTTAAAAAAGAAAGTTATTACAATGTATTTTGTGAGGCAGATGTTCTATAAGGTTTACAACACTACAAGTCTTGATTTAGAAGGAAGAAGAAAAATTCCAATACTCAGATTTTAAAAAAAAATCATAGTCTTAGGAAATTCATTTAAACCATAGGAACTTTCACTTATCTCATGTTAGCTGTACCAGTCAGTGATTAAGTAGAAATACAAGTTGTATAGGCTTTATTGTTTATTGCTGGTTTATGACCTTAATAAAGTGTAATTATGTATTACCAGCAGGGTGTTTTTAACTGTGACTATTGTATAAAAACAAATCTTGATATCCAGAAGCACATTAAGTTTGCAACTTTTTCCACCCTGCCCATTTTTTTGTAAAATTGCAGTAATCTTGGACCTTTAAAAAAAAAAACCACACAATTTTAAACTCAACCAAGCTGTGATAAGTGGAATGGTTACTGTTTATACTGTGGTATGTTTTTGATGACAGCAGATGATGCTTTCTTTTTCCAGTTGTCTTTGAGAATAAAGAAGAAAAACCAATTTCAGATGCAATGGTTTTTGTGTAGCATCTTGTCTATCATGTTTTTTGTAAATACTGGAGAAGCTTTGACCAATTTGACTTAGAGATGGAATGTAACTTTGCTTACAAAATTGCTATTAAATTCCTGCTTAAGGTGTTCTAATTTTCTGTGAGCACACTAAAAGCGAAAAATAAATGTGAATAAAATGTAGAATTTGGCTGTGTTTCTTTTTCTGGATACTCTTGATAGCTTAGTAGATTGCTTGTATTATCTAAATTTGTATAAGAAGGCACTTGTTTGCCAATTAACATTGCTCTTCTAAATTATGGACTATGTGGTCTCCTGGCCTTACTAAATTTGTATCTGTGGTGTAACGATCTTTTAAGGCCTTCTAACTGGAAATGTGCATTGGATTTTCAGTTAACTGATGCTACCCTGGAGACTCGATTGGCTAATGAGAGATCTGGGGAAAAACAGGAATGAGAAGAACTAGAATGTGTTTTCAATAAGCTTGCATCAGTTGACTTTAGCTAGAGTGGGTATGTGTGTAGTGAGAAGCCTTGAGGACCACTTTATGGTGTATTAGGTTGTTATTTCTTAGCTTGAGTTGACTTGACACTTTGGCTGTGGTTGTTTGGAATGCCTTGGCCCTTGGCCTGAGTTTTCAAACAGGAGCACCTACATTCAGGTGTTGAAACAGCAAAGGTCCAATCTTACATGCGAGTTCTTAACCATTTCAGCATCTACTTCAGTGCCTGACTTTAAGTAACCAGCCTTGGAAGTTTGGCTAAAGTAAACTTTTTTTTTTGTTCTACCAAATTGTTGAGCAATACTTTTTTGTATGTTACTCTCAATTGTAGGTGAGTTAACAAAAAGCAAAACAAAAAAGAGATTGCTATATTGTTCTATAGAAGAGTCACTTGGTGCTTGCCTTTTAACTGTTTAGACTTTTGGGCTAATTTCCACCATATTGCTCAGGGCAAAATATGCCTTAATAAAACAGTAGGCTTTTGTATAAAATAAACACAGAGTAGTAATGGTGTTGGAGGGTGGAAATTGATTTGAGGAAGTGTTGCTCCTAGATTTATAGGTGAAATTTAGTGTTACACATAACTTGCTTCCATCTATGTGTTCAGCAGTAACTTACTTTGGAAGCAATTACACTTATTTTATGAGAGAGTGGCACATTAGCACCTTGTTCCCTAAAGAACAAAGCCTGCGCTGAATGAAGTTCAGTGGATTCCATACTGAATACATATTCTTATTCAGCTGTCCACATCTTTTTATTTTTTATTTTTATTTTTGGCTTGTATATATACTCTGGTCACCCTGGTATTTCTCTGTAGTGTTAGAAATGTATTGACTATTATGCTTTAAATGGCCATGGGATGAAATAAATGGATGTAAAATGAGATCTTACATACGAGTGTCATTCTTGTACTCCCATCTGCAAGGGACACTTTCCATTTGTAATTCTTGCCAGGTGCTCACAATGTGGTTGCATACCTCTTATCTGTGACATTGGCCCATCATAAATGTGTGTTCTTAAGTAAACAAAAGCAAAGCCAGCCTGGCTTTTTACATTGCACACAGTGTGACGTAAATGGAAATCCTATCCACCCTTAATTTCACCTGGGCCAGAATAGGCAATAGAGATGGTTTGCAGACTTTGAGGAGCACATGTTAAGGTATGCTCAGCAGGGAACCGTGTAGAGTGTTATGTAGTGGCAGCCTCTGGTTTGCTTCTATATAATATGTGGAATGGGCCTTAAGGGCTGAATGCAGATCTCAGACTTGTTTCTTCATTTTGAGAAATATTCTATGTGCTCTCCAGTTCTTCAGACTTTCCAAAATATGCTGACCTGCACTCTGAACTATTCTGAGTCACATGTACAGTAGATTAAATCCATATGCAATCCAGAAAGTGTGTGGCTCATGCAAACCATATCATTGATAGACAGTGCTTTGATACCATCACCATGGGTCGGTCACTAGGAAACAAGATGCTGGCTTAAAAGGGCCTGGAGTCTGATCTAGCCAGGCTAACCTTTTGTATTGACTGCAGTCTATACTGAAACTGGGCAACTAATCTTATAATGCAATACTGTGCTTGTCTACTCAGAAGTCCCATTAAATTCAACAGGGTCTACTCCCAGGTAAGCAGACGTAGAACTGCCTCAGTGTTAGTGGATTGCTAATCTTCCCGTAAGGTACTTAAGTAAGAGGCTGTTTCCTAGTGCCAGGTACTATATGGTTGAGCTAATTAGTCAGTGGGCATTACTACCTGCTAGTAAGTAGATATTATATTGAGATAATGGTGTTGAGCTGTTGAGTACAGAAACACTGTTACAAATATTTTAGATAAACAATGTATACTGGCCAGAATGATCAAAATGGCTAAATCTGTAGTCCTAAGCATGGTTACACTGATACAGTACAGTACTTTCATTCTGAAGAGTGCTTAAGAATAGAATTGTGCCTAGTTAAGCCTCATCAATTGTATCAGAGGCCCCATTTTTTTAAAAAAATCAATGAGGAACTAGGGTTAAGTTAAAAGTGCATGCCATCCTTTTACAAAGGGAATTGTATTCAAGATGGCTCAGGTAATACCATGTTGTGACTATGTAGACGTCCCAGTACTCAGTTGGGTTGTGAACTTTACTTCCCAGTTCCAAGTATATTTACTGTTGTAAGTAAGATTCCTGCATAAGTGTGCTTAAGGTTGTTCTTGTGGTCATTGACCCTCATCCATTCCTACAGGGGTAGGAAAATGTGTAGCTTTCAGGCAGATCATGTTCTCTCTGTTTTTCAGCCTGTTGAGTTTTTTAAATGGATTGAAATATGTTTATTTCATAACTGATTAATAATCGAACAATCATATGCTGTCAATTCTGATTTATGGGAAACCCCTTTTCAGGGTTTCCCAGGTAGAGAATACTCATGGTTTACTATTCCCTTCTTCTGAGACGCACTCTGGGACTGCAGCTTGCCCAAGGCCACACAGACTGGCTCTTCTTACAGGAGGCACAGGGGGGGGGATCAAACTTCGAATGTCTGGCTCCACAGCCAGATATGTGAGCTATCCAGCCAGTTTCATAACTGATTAAAGAGCTTAAAATTGTGACTGTAGACAATTAAGTAACAGGGTTAATTTAATAGCTGTCATTGGGCTGCAAGCTGATAAACTCAGTTCTGAAATAGCTGAGAGCAATCAGCCAGTGCTCTGTTAATATCCGGGAGACTCAACATTTTTAATGGAGTATGCTTACTACAGTATATATATATTGTTCTATGATGCTTTCCTCTTAGTTTGCAGTGGCTCTACAGACAGACATTTTAGAATAAAACTATCTAAAACCACACTCCCTAAATCCTACAATCTAAATCTGGCCATTCCTACTTGTTGGGATTTGTTGAGGAAAAAATTTACTTTTGGATTAATGTAGCAAATGAGAATTCATATAAATAAAAGTCATGAAGTGTCCCCTAACTCTCTAGAGCCAGTCTTGCTGGTGGGTGGTGGAGGAATGCAGATGAAAAATGTGTGCATTAACGGAAGCTACTTCCACGTATATATAGGGGAATCATTGGATCTAAACCAGGCATGCTGAATTTTAGGATAGAAGCACAAACTGTCAAACATAACTGTGCTGTAGTAGACACTCAAGTCAATGAACATCCTTTATATTTGAAATGCCAAGATTTGGATTTGCAAAGTAAATAAACATTCAGGCCAAAAGATTCCCCTATATATATATACACACACAAACATATTTGTAGGTGAAAGTTGGTATATGTTTGAGCAAAAAAAGTTGCTTAGACAATTAAATGCATCCTTTAAAAAAATCTTAAAGGGTTTTTGTTTGGAATTTTCAGGAGTGAAACGCCCACATTCTTGGAAAATGAAAAATCCTTTTACAAATCAGTAGTGTGCTCCCTTTTTTGCCCACAGTATCTTCTGTTATGTCAGGCGAAACACAATACAGTAATCACATTTGGAACATATTCTTTGCAGGGTTTTATTTTAAAAAAATCTGTATAAGCTTTCTTGTTGAAATTCATTGAAATTGGGTGGATGTGGGAGAGAATTCAACGTAGAAAGGAACATGTCCCTGCCTCTGAACAAAGCCATTCTAAATCCCTATTAGTACTCCAAAACTATCATATCTATGCAAAACATATCCACACTTCCATAAGTAAAAGGCAGTTGTTCATAAGTGAGATGAAAAGAGAAGGCCCATGATGGAAACCTAGTTGTGAGACTTGCAGTTGGGACCAAAGGGAATGATGGGAGTGTGGGAAGTGAAAACCACATAAGTGTCACATGTCATCCCGAGTCATATGACAAGCCATAGAAACAACAAGCAACTGCACTATAAATTTTAATCGATATGATCTTGGTGATTTATGAGAATTGCAAGGATTATGTGCTTCTTGAAGGGATATGTTCTTTAGCATTTCCGTTGCGGGTAATTATGTATGTGCAATATTTAGGAAGTGAAATCTGGAAGTATTTAAAAGGCTTGTTCCAGGCATTTCATGTCAGCTGAACAAAATTTGATGATGTTGAGTTGCAATTTTAGGAAGTCCTTAAAAATTGGCCTTTTAGAAACAAAGTTTAAATTGCGCTTCTCAGAGTATTGAAATACTTATTAGAAACATGCTAGAGGGAAAAAAATGGAAGGTGTATTCCCTTTGTACAGTGTTGAAAATGTCTGCTATGGTATAACATTTTCTGGAGTGAAATTAGTGTAATTTGCAGAGAAGCTATATAGCTCTGGAGCTTTGAAGGAAAGGTTATAGCAACACGACTCCACAGTCATCCCAGAGAGACCAGAGCGGAATAATTGTGTGTGATTACATGGAACACTGTAGAACTAAATAGCATTAATCAATTTATCCTTGTGAAAGGAAAGCAACTTACATTGGAGAAAATATCAATTTTCCATCTGCTCACTTATGTTCAATCAGGATGTTTCAAGATAAAACTAAGATTTCTATTCATTGTGAATAGGTAATGATGAATAAATTTAAGAAGCATTGTTTTCACTGACTGAATCAGTCAAGACACCATCTAAAATAGCCTGAACCCCAAAAAAGGAAGGGTGTCATGATGTCCTATTTTAACATCAAATGCCCACAGAAGATAAGATGATTCATATTTATTTATAAATATTACAATGAAAAAGGTAGTTAATCCCTCTTTCATATGAAACTTATTGGGCCAATATTTCATGTTTCATTTCAGCCAAAGATTTCCCTTGCTTCCAGTCTCTGCTGCTCAGTTCCTTTCGGTATTAGAAAAAGCTATTTCGGAACTATGCCAATCAATACTTAATGGTTTATGGCTTTGATCCTTAAGGATCCCAGGCACTGACTTAGGACCCGGGAGATTGGGTGCCTGAAACTGACTGAACATGAACAAGGAAAACTAATTTTAGAAAATACTGAATACCATTACTGGCAAAGAGAGATTACTATTCCATAATACTGTACTCACTTAACGTCAACTCATGGAGCTGCTCTAAGTGGTTGAATGCCTACAACTCATTGCTCTGAGGGGAAGTCAGTGGAGCCATGGTATGCCCCTGTTGCTAATTTGCAGATCATGTGATGGGTAGTCATTCATAAAAGTGCTGCAATATAGATTCCACATGAATAGTAGCTTTTGTTCTGCATGTTTATATATGCACAGATGTATCGAGGATTAATCTTTCACAGAGGCCTGTAAGAGGGATGTATCACTGTTTGGGATGGGCTATAGGCCGTTATCCTAGCTGGATCCCCTTGCAGTGTATTATCGATAATCTGCAACCCATCTTGGATAATCATTTTTTTCCCTTCCACAAGCTTGGGAGCTTGTCTTTGCTTGTTCCATTATCATGGTCTCCCTATACACCTGTTGATACACTAACTTACCATCTGTCTCCCCAGTTGATACCTCTTCATTGTTGTCTTTGCTGGGAGAACAACTATGTTTGGTTTTCCACCGCTGGTAGCTATTCCAACAGTGTTTCCATTCCAGCTGGCTGTGCTGGGACCCCAGTTTGCATTTTTCCTGTTCCGTCCCCATTCCTTTTGTGTTTCTGTGGCATGCATTTTGGATTGTAAGGTTGGGAGCAGGAATGGTTTCACTATGGATATTTGTAGACTTTCCCCACCCTCTCTTTGATACAGAACAAAGTAAATAAATGAATGCAATGAGGATGACACCATACATCACATGAAATGGACGCTAGTCCACTGAATACACTAGTCTCAAAACAAATGTGGCATTGTTGATTTAGAAATCATAAATCCATGTAAAAACATGTATCTCCATGATTTGAACTGGCCACATGTAGTTCCAGTGCTTTTTGAAGAGAAGAATTAAGGAGCTGCTTAAATTTCCCCAAAATTTAAATTACTAAAT